CTATTTGGTACCCTATGGCGAGCGAACATCTTATAATGTCCAAATATTTGATTATAAATCACTAACGATAACATAAATTTCATGCTTGTAAATTCCGCGACCCGAAAGGAGAAGCGGTTCATGGAAGATGAAGATGCTTGTAAATTTATGCGTTTCTCTTCGTCCATCTATAACTTCTATCATACGGCGTTTATATCACTCTAAATAACATCTTTCCATCTTTTCTTATGAGGTTAAACCAATCTGTCGTGCGAGCGATTGAGCGTTCCTAAAAACCACTGTTGGTACGCTTTTTGCTGCTTCACGTGAATTCCGTCACTTTAAGCAAGTATTTTAAGGGGCATTCAGCAATTTATTTAGATATCCTTTCCCTGAAAAATAATTCCACATTGACCCATAAAGCCTTTGATAAACAGATCAGAAATATCGTTGACTGCCACTGAACACGCCTTTGTTGCACGACATATAGGAAATCTGATCAAAAGACCAATTAACTGGAATACGCCGGATTTTAAACTCGTTGTCACTTCCTATCATACTAAAAAATGGTGATAAAAGTGAAGTAGAATTTTACGGTTGCAAGGAGAACTTTATGTTTGCGAAGGCGAATGACAAAAAATCGAAGAACTTGAAGAGAATCGGTTAGAGTATCTTTCAAAAGCACGAGAAGGAAACTTACCCATAACGATGGCCACTGAGTAAGCAACATTTCTGGCTGAAGAAGGGTACATTCTAGACTATAAGGCATCCAGTGAATGGTTCGAAAATATCAAAAGTAGATTTAATATCGCCAATCTTGCGGTCTGAGGTAAAGCCCAGGCGAATAGCGAAACGTCGACGTGAACAAAAACGGCACAAAATTATTGACTATTTTAAATGTTTTTGACGTTTCATGATTTTAAAAACTGTTATGTCACCATTATAATCATCGCTTGAGGGGGTTACGGCATCCCCACGTTTCCTACCACCATTTGCCATTGTATTTTGTGCTGGGGAATATCAGATATGATTGCAACTCAACACCCATGTTTGGCTCGCAGTTTGTCGGCAGGTGCAGCCCATCTGCGTAGCCGACAGTCCCTCTCTGAAGCCACCCGAGCATAAATTTGTCAGCCTGCCTTTCCGTCTTTACGAGGATGGGTTCGGCACACAATCAGTCAAGATGTTTATCAGACATTTGTAGTCCCGTCGTGAGAGTCGAGAGCTTGAATTTTCTGATATCCATCAAAGGGAGAGTTTATGTTATTTCCTGCCCGACGAACTCTATTTCTATTCCTTCTAATGTCATCCAGAAATTGTACATTCGTTATCTTATCAGTCAATCTACAGTCGAGTATTCTGCGCAACATGATCGTTCAAATACATTCAGTTTATTCGCTTTCTTCTTGGTAAGGGTACAAGTAGCAGCGACATACATCGGTACTGGTCGAATAGCTGTCGGATATATGCGAAATTCCACTGATAGCAGTTCTCAACAAATTTTGCTGCAGTAAGCCATATGCAATTTGATCCTCCCAGATTCTTTTCTGAATATCAGTTTCCATCATTAGTGATCACTGATCCAAAATAGAACTTAGGGACGTACTCCATATCTTCCCGGTAAATTTTCATGGTATTTACATTTTCTGAGGTACACCATAATACAAGGACTTTGCATTTCTATGGTTTCATTATCATTCCGCATTTGGCGCTGGCTGTTTCTGATGCCGTCAACGCCTCTGAAGTTCTTCTCGGTCCATTGCAATGATATCATGCAACCGGCGTCCTGATGGCTGGATTTCACTTCGTTATCAAAGTTTCAAACTGAGTCTGTCATTATGGCATCCATGCAACAGTTGAAATGCATCGATCCGGTGACCGATTCTTGCCGTACTCAGCAATCAGTTGGAAAGCTGTCTGAGATGTGGAACGTATTCATACTACTGCCGCTGGTCACGTACAAATCTTTTTTCTGCTATACATCATGGCTGTAACAGTCAGTGCAAACAATTCTCGTGTATACAGTTCCAAAAATAAAGTTTTTTGTTCAACTTTCGAAACACTTCTATCGGAAGTGGACATAATGTTACAATTCAAGAAAATACGTCCATTTTTGCATTTCATAATCGTATTTACTAGTGAGTAACTCAGCCTTTGACGGTCCCAAGCCCGGATGAGAAAGGAGGAGGGTTAGAGACCGTGGCAAGTCTCCGTAAAATCTAGCCACCTGCCACTTATGGTACTGACGCCATCTAAAATCTTACCGGCTCGGTCGTCGCCCGGGTTACCAAAGGCCGCGCAGGCTGTTGGGGGACTTAGGCAGAATGCGAAAAGTCGGCGATCATAACCTGCTCATTGCCT